TTCATCTACTTTTACTTTTGTTATCTGTTTTTTTCTTTTAGTTATTGTCGTTGTTCTTTATTTTGGCTGTGTTTGCACAAATTTATTGCTTTAATGGATTTTATCTTTCGGTGAGATGTTTTTTTTTTTTTTTTATCATTGCCTTCAGATATAATGTTTTTTTTTTTTCGTACTCAGTTACACTTGAATAAAGGCAGACGTTTCTTCGTCAAGAATCTTTTCACTGGCGAACGTTTTGAATTTTGTTGTGGCGTTTTTTTTTTTTTTTTTGGGTCTTGCTGTTATCACTATTATTTATTTTGATAGTAATATAAATAATAATTTTTCAATTATTTTTTGTTTTTGTTGTTACTGTCATAAGTAATAGCAACAAATAAATAGTATTATTATCATTAATGATAATGATAATAATACCATCAATAATAATGAAAAAATAATGATGATGATAACTAAAAAAAATGTCAATGTTACTACTACTACTACTACTACTACTACTACTACTACTACTACTATTACTACCATCAATAATTTTGATAATAGTAATGACAATAATATTAAATAATAATAATAAGAATACTAGCGATAAAATTATTATCATTCTATTGACGTTATTATTTTTGCAATAGAAGTTTGGGGAGTGGATACGCGCATGTAAATGGATTATATTCTGAGTGATTCGATGATGTGGTGGTTTTTTTTTTTGTATTTAATTAGTTTTTTTTTTCTCGTGCGTAAAAAATGTCCGAGTGAAAGCCTCGAAGGAATTTTTTCTTTTTGTTGGTGACCCACCTCATGTCCTGTACCCTCCGCGTGGGGTTATGTGCTGAAGTTGGCTCCCTAGAATTTGCTACTTTGTAACTTCTAGCGGGTGATTATTCTCCCGTGTCTAGGAGACTGGGATTAAATATTCTTTCCAATGTATTGGAAATGTTATTTATGTAAGATGGACCGTATAGGCTTTACTGATTATTTTATTATTCTCATTTTTGTAGCTTAACAACTTTTTGACCAAACTAGTGGGTGTATTCTTACTGTGTTTGTCGCTATTCCGTTGAGATTGCCTTTTAAAATTAATTTGATGTATTAAGGAGCGAACGATATTGTGTTTTTGTTTTTATTTTATTATCTTGCTGTGGTTGGCAATGTATATTTTTCTTTTTATTTTGTGGTTGTCAAACGACATTATTCATTTTTTTAACTGTAAGAAAAAATGTTGGGATGAATTATTGTAATTGTTTATTTATTTCTTTGATGGGAATGATAGATAGAGAGGTGTATGATATTTATGACTTTTTTTTGTATTTTTTATTCTTCTTTGCTTGTCTTTTTTTTTTTTTTTTCTCTGGTTACCCTCAAAAAGGCGACATGATATCTATATTCTCTTGAGAGAGTGATTTTCCGTGTATTGTATAGCTTTCTTGTGTACAATGTATCTCTTGAAGGATATGGAAAAGAAAAAAAGGTCTGGGATGAAGGTTTTTTTTTATTTTTATTTGAGTGTTTGATTTTTATAACGTTTTTTCTTTATGAGTGTGCTTTCTGGGTCTGTTGTTTCGTGTCAAGTGACCATTAATAGTTTTTATCGTAGATGCCTAATGGGGTTGGCTTTTATTTTTATTTTTGCTTTACTTTTCTAGGATAACGTATTTGTGTGGTCATACCAGGATAGTAAAGTAAGGTGTCTTTATTTTAATGGCCAACTTGTAATTATCAGATAGCTGAATATGTTTTTTTTTTCTCATAATTCCGATTCTTTATTAAATTAGCTTTTACTTTTCTTCGGGAAACATCTCTTTATATTCTTCGGGGGTCCTTTTTCATTTTTGGTATTGTTATACAGTTCTTGTGTTTTTTTTTATGTGAATGACCTGTTTGTAACCTTATCGATTTCATGGTGATAGGAGACGTCTCCTTAAAAAAAAAAAAATAATTATGGCATGTGGGGGTTTCCTCTTATGTTTTTTTTTTTTTTTTTTTTTTTTTTTTTACAAAGATCACAATGTGATGATTGGGTGTTAATTGCTGATTTGATTCATAAGAGTTATTCAAGGGGTGCGATCTCTAATTCTGAAAGGAAAAAAATAACAAACCCAGTCCTCAAACCATTATACCCTATTCTTCTTTTGTTTATTGTTAAATGGAAATGTTTTATTATTTTTTATTATCTTTGTTTTTCGTGTGATTGAGTCTCTGTACGAGGAATGTTTTTTTTTATTTTTATTTTTTACTTTTTATTGTTAGCAATATATGCTGTGTATAGGTGATGAAACGATATGAAAGAAATAATTTTGGTGTTTTAAAGGAAAATAAATTTCTACGACTATGTGAAGTTTCTTACCGTTCTGTTGAATCCAATTTGTCTTCAACATTGGAATCATCGGCACAAAGTTTAAATGACAGAAGATGGGAGTTTGTGCAACGTACTACGTGTCCAATTTCGTTAGGAAAGTGTCAAAAATCACCAGTTCCTTTTGCTATTGATGGTGCAGAAATTTGTGCATTTTTACGTCGTTTGGACGAAACTTTTTTGATTTTAGTTGCACAATATCGACCACCTCTTGATGCAGTTGTAGTGGAATTTCCAGCAGGACTGGTAGATCCATCTGAAGATGTTAAACATGCAGCAATTCGTGAATTAAGAGAAGAAACTGGTTATGTGGCTACAGAGGAGGATATTATCGGCGTATCAGAAGCACTTGCTTATGAACCTGGTTTAACTAATTCTGCTTGTCAGATTGTAAAGATACTTATTGATGGTGAAAAAGAAGTAAATAAAAATCCAAAACAACAACTAGACGATGGAGAAGATATTGAAGTCATTTTACTCCCAATACGTTCAAAAAGTATGGAAACTAGAAAGTATACTCCTCTTCAATTTTTAGATAATTTGATAAAAGAAAAGAATATATTTCAGACACGTACCGTTATTGATGCAAAAGTATATACGTTTTTGGATGGGATTTCCCTTATGGAGAGTTTACCTTGTTAGTGGGGGTGGATGTAAAGAGACAGTTTTAATCAAAACGGTAGTGATTATTCTTAACTCCATCATCAAATGATAATTAAAAAAAAAAAGGATAAAAAGAAAATGACGAGGTGTTATGCCCACAGGAATGGCGGGATACAGTTTCTACAGCTCATTCTTAATTTTTTTTTTGCTTTTTTTTTGATTTTATTGTTCTTTCTCTTTCTCACCAGAAAAAATAAAATAAAAAAAAATAATAATAATCAAAGATCCTCTACAATGTCGGTTCGTTCCTTTAACTCATCTTATTCCTTCTGGGTTAAGACGTCACAAACATCTTCTGTAATGTGGTCTGAGTCTTTACGTGGTTTTGCTTCATCAAATTTGGGAAAACCCCTTGTAAGTGGTGAGCAAAGTTCAAGAGGAAAGGACTATACGCTTAATCCTGTAGAGATGGAATCTATTTATAAAGTGAGTCACTCCTCAGATTGTGTAGGGGAGGTTGCGAATTCATATGGTGAAGATGATATATTAAATCAAACAGTTTTATCAAGTTGTACAAATTTATCGTTTAAAGGTTCAACAGAAAGAAGTGAAGATAAAGAGTTGGATAAGGAACCACTTGCAAAAAATCTTCATAATACGGTTGGACCTACTCCTTATCGAGTATCATGGTATGATTATGACTCTGTTAGCCCTGCTAAACGGTTTACATATTGGGCATATCGTAGACTACGTGAGTTACCACCAGAATGGCAGGAATACTATCGTCGTATGCTATATCAAGAGTTAACTGCTGCACGGTATGTAAATCAAACCTGGGATTGTTTTATGATGGTAGTGGATGGTTACCGAAAAGCTAAGTGGGTGCTTAAGAAATACGGTATTCCTATAGATGAAAATCTTATTCCAAAACCTTACAATGATTTTTGGGAAGAGACTACACATGAAGAACGTGTGTGGGCCCACCGACGTTCACATCAGTTGAAAGAACTTCAAGCTCTTCAAAGAGAAGAAGACGAACTCGTTTTTGGAGCTCAAATGGTAGATCGTCGTGAAGTAAGTTATGGATCTATAAAAAATTTACAGTCACCTATGCAAGGAGGAACACCAGTACATGCTCATGATTTACCAGCTCCTTACGAGTCAGATATTAAAATGTCACCACATGATGAAGATATGAGTAGTGCTTTAATGTCTAGCATTGAGGATGATAAGTTGTGGAATCCGGTACTACGCTCACGTCTTCATACCCAGCGCATGAGAGAAGAAGTTGAATTATATGCGTTTGAAGATGATGATGATGATAACAGTGTACCATGATTATATATATATATTTAATGACTAAACCACACCGAGCTAATTTATGGCTCTTTTACGGTTTGTTTTTTTATAATCCTTTAGACAACATGATTATATTGTATCTGTAGATGCTCTTGTCTTTTATATTATGTCTTCTTTTTTTTCTATTTTGCATGTTTCTGTTTTTTTTTTCTTTTTACTATATTTCTTTATAGCTTCGGGAAACGTCCCGAGGGTGGCAGAATCTTCGTTTCTCAACTGAGTAAAACTAATAAAGAAAAGACAAACGAACCAAAAAAAAGGAGAAGAAAGGTAGTAAAAACGTAAATTTTTTTGTTTTTTGTTTTATAAAACAATGGCAGATCTTCTTACGTTACAGCAAATTATTGAATTGAAAGAAGCTTTTGCTTTGTTTGACAAAGATTGTGATGGAAGTATTACTGTTGAGGATCTTGATGAAGTTTTTGCATCCATCGGACAAAAGGTTTCACGAGAAAAACTACAGAATATGATGGCTGAGGCTGATCTTGATGCCAATGGTGTGATAGACTTCCCTGAGTTTCTTACCCTCGTTGCCACTAAACTGAATGATCCAGCTGAAAAAGAGTTGGAACTTCGGCGTGCTTTTGCTATTTATGATCTTGGCAATACAGGGTATATTAAGGCAACCGATTTGAGATTTGTTATGGGTCGTTTGGGTTGTCCGCTCACTCCAGAGCAGGCATTTGAGATGATTAATGAGGCTGATATTGACGGTGATGGACGACTTAGTTTTGAGGAGTTTCGTAGAGTGATGGTTGATTCATGGTCTTAAAATACGGGAAGGAACCCTCCTCTACACACCTTTGGATGGGAAGAAGAATGACCATCTGCTATGCATGTACAAAAAAAAAAAAAATCATATAAAAAGATGTGGGAGGAATAGATTCTATATTTCTTTCTCTCTTTTCATTGCTCTTTTTTTTTTTTATGTATATATTGTTTTATTTTAGTTCTTTTTTCTTGTTTGATTTGTGTCCAAATATCCTATGTATTCTATTATTCCTCTGACTTTCTGAATATATTTTTTTTTTTTTGGAATTTTTGAAATAGGTATCCCCTTTGGGATTCTCCAAGGGGAAAAAAGAAAAAAAGACAAACAGAAAAGGGGATCGACACCGAAAAGAAAAAAAATAATTAATATGCTGCATGAGGAAGAACCATCCTCATTCGTTGGCCCTCGTGCACATGAAAACGTAGAGGGTAACAAGGCATTTGTGCGGAGTGTCTTGACTAGGCTTCCAGAGCTTACACCTGCGATAGTACGTGGTTCTCCTCCTGCAAGACTTCTTCTTCGCAATGCTATCTCGCGTGCCAGGTACTTTTTTCGTGGTGATGCTTCATTTGGAGAAATATTAAGACTTCTTTTGGAATACTGCAGTCAGATAAAAGATGTAGGGAATTGTGAAGATGTTCCAGAATCTATAAAAGATCTTGCCGCTTCAATTGCATCACGGGTAGAAAATCTACCTTTGCCAAAAACTGCTTCAGATACTAAATTATCACCTGTCATGATATTATTTTTTACAGTAGGACTATTAGCTACATTGTCTATAATAATCATTATCGTTTCCACAGACCACTCTTGGGGAGTTAGTGAACAGGCAATTATTACAGTTGCTTGCATACTTATTATCATTATTCTTCTTCTATTGGGTTTAACTCACCAAAAAATAAAAATGGCTAAATCAGATATTGAATCACTTGATAAATTTCTTCGAGGTTTTGTTGACTCATTTAAAACTGCTACTCCTTTAGTAGGAGAAAACGAACACACCAATCCTTTTTCTGGACCTTCTCAAACTGATGATAGCAAACCAACAGAGACTTGTGCATTTCTAGTTGAACCAGATGTTGTACGTCAACAAAGAAAAGCTGTAAATGCACTACTTGTAGAAGCTACAGAAGATGAGGGTAATTTCATATTACGTTTAAGAGATCTTCCTCCTGTTTATATAGGACTTAATGCTGTTTGCAAACATTTACTTATGATAGTTACAGATCGAGAAGGTAAGGTAGTACTATGGAGTGAAGGTGCTATGTCTCTTTGTGGATTTAGAGCCGCTGATGTAGAAGGAAAACATATTTCTAGTTTATTAAATGGTGACAAATCACTTGAACAATATAATATGATGGTTGATGCAGCTGATAAAAATTTTGACCTTTCTAGAAGGGCTTTAACCCTTGCTCATCTAACTTATGGAAGTGTTACTGTAGATGCTACTCTTATGATTGCCAGGGATATCACAACAGAACAACCTGTAGGATATGCTATAATTGGTTCTGTACAAGAGGCAGGAGTATATCGAACCTTTTCTTTTTTTCAGCATTTCTTTTTAACTGAATTATCTCAATTGGGTTATAAAGAACCACAATTTCGTCAAATTATAGATTGTCTTCAATGGAAAAATCTTCAAGATTTAGCTTATTCTGCTAGAGAATGGGGTGGTGTACGACTTCGAGCAGTACTTTCTGATGTGATTCGTGAACGACATCGTCAGGTAGATGTTCGTGTTTTACCTGATGTAGCAGAATTAGCAAGAGTATCATGTGATAAATCAGCAGTAGCTTCAGTACTTTCACGTGCTTGTGAACTTTTAACAGGAAAACTTCATATTCAAGTATCTTTAAAACGAACCACAGAATCTATTCACCAACTTGTAGTAGTTTGTCAACATGATTCAACTAATCCTATTGATCATGAAGCTATCACTAGTTTAAGACAAGCTGTAAACAGTTTGGGTGGTATACTTATTTCTTCTACTGGTACATTACGAATTCAAGTTCCTTTTATTGTTGAAGATGGTTCCGGTAGAGCTTTAATGCGTCCACGATATGATCAAGTGATTCCAAATGTTCAAGATCCATTGATTATTCTTCTTCTTGAAAAAAGTGCTGTTTACCGACATAATATTTCTGCATTACTTTGGAGTTTTGGTCATTCATTACGAGTGGTAGAAAGTGTTACAAAAGCTTTACAAGCTGTAAATGATTCTAGTATTGATATTGGATGTGCTATTGTAGATAGTGATTTAAGAGATGCAAGTAAGGTATTGGATGAACTTGCAGCAAAAAGAATTTACACAATTGAAACTTCAGAAACTTCTAATACTCCTATTAAACGGGGTAATTCATTATTATCCAAACCTATATCTCGTGAATCTCTTGGTTTAGAACTCCTTGAAGCAGTACGTAAAGTTGAAGAAAAACGAAAAGCAGAAGAAGAAGTAATGAAAAGACGTGAAATCTTTGGAAAAGTACGAAATAGTCCTTGGATTAAAGGTCGTAAACTCGGAAGAGGAGCATTTGCAGATGTATATGAAGCAACATCAACTCTAACAGGTGGTAAAATGGCAGTAAAAATGATTCGTTTATCAGGTAAATTTGAAGATAAAGTAAAAGATCTTATGAATGAAATTGAAATTTTGTGTAAACTTACTCATCCTAATATTATTCACTACTTTTACTGCGAACGTACAGAAAATACTATAAATTTGTTTATGGAACTTGCGGATCAGGGTACTGTTGCAGATTTATTACAAAGATACCCAAAACTTCCAGAAAATTATCTTGCAAGAATGACTAAAGAATTACTACAAGCTGTGAATTATCTTCATGAGTGTGGTATTATTCATCGTGACATTAAACCTGGAAATATGTTGATATCAAAGGGTGTATTAAAACTTTCAGATTTTGGAACTGCAACAGCTAATGTTGGAGAAGGAATGCATGGAACAATATTTTATATGGCTCCAGAAGTAATTGAAGGTCGTTCTTCTTCAAAGGAATGTGATATATGGTCCATAGGCTGTGTAGTTTGTGAGTGTCTTCAAATAAAGCGACCCTCAAGGGGAGGTATGTTGCTTGGCTATGGAGTTCCCGAAAGTTTCCCTCCTGAAGTATCAGAAGAAGCGGTAGATTTTATAAAATCATGTATGCATGAAGATCCATCAGAGCGTGCCTCCGCAGGGACTCTTTTATTACATGATTTTATTTTAAAACTTGATCATGAGGTGGATCAGTTGGCTATGCTCCCAACTGATCCAATGGCGACAACATGGGGCACAGTTGAGGGTACAGAGAGTTTTACTGTAGCATCTTCTCAGTCAACTCCAAGTTGGTCGATTAGGGAATAAATAGTGTGAGTGATGTGCATAAGTTTTTATGTGTTTAAATAACTTACATTGTGTACAATAAATGCATGAACAATGCGTTATTATTATTATTATTATTATTATTATTATTATTTTCTCTAGTTTATATATGTGTCTATACTTTATGTTATTTATTTTTATTTATTTTTTTTTCATATTTCCACTCTTTTTTTTTCTTTTTTGTTTTGTCCATTCTTAAAAAAAAAAAAAATATTCTTTTCATATATATAAATATTTGTCTTTGTATTCTTTTGTTATTTATCCTTATTTGCAGAGTTAAAAAAAAAGAAAAATTCTCCTGTAATTCTTATTCCCTAATATTAATCAATATATTTAAATTCTTTTTTTTTTCTTTTTTTGTTTTTTTTTTTATCTTCAAGTGAGAAGGGAACTGAGAAGTGGGTGGTGGGAAGGAAGGGAAACAACACGGGATATAATAAAAAAGAAAAAAAAAAAGAAAGAAGAGAGATGAAACAGGCACTTCTTCACTATATGGAGCAATCCAATAGAGATAATAACAGAGACTCCTCACCACTTCTTCGAAGCGTATCACGTCCCGCGGCACATTGTCAGTTGTTTGACCTAAAGAAGGATCAAGAACAAATATGGCCAGCATCTAATCTCCTTAACGGTAGTGGCCGTTTCCGCGCTCAGTACCAAAATGGTTCTCATCTCGTGATGAGCGATAACCGTCTTCTTGTGGTTCGTAAAAATGGTTATTTTTATTGTCCACCATGGAGTGCTCCTATTCACGACGCATACATTCAACAGCAAGGAGATACTGGATACTCCCTTTTGGTTGTAGGCCTCACAACAGGGGTTTACGTTGCCTTATTACAAGAAGAATCACCCATTCAAATTGTGGATGATCTATTTGTAGGAACAAACCATCCTGTAGAGAAAATAATGTTTCCACAGAATAACGTGGTAGTACTTTGTTATGGGAATGCTGATGTGGAAACTTATGAGGTTACTATAGATGATGAGCAAAAAATAGGATTTATTCTATCTCATGGGAAACGTCCATTTCGTATTCTTCAAACTGTAACTTCTTTATGGGGTAAAAAGCATTACCGTGATTGTGCATATGATGCCAACAGTAAAAATCTGTTCGTCTTATCCAACATAGATCTCACAGTGTGGAGGTATGTGACGCCAGATTTATTTACAGTAGTATCTTCAGTTTCAGTTCATGGTAATGCTGTGGCGGTGCTTCCAAGTTCACAAACAAAAGGTTGTGCTACAATTATTCTTTCTGATGGAGGACGACAACCTGTTTTTCTTGAAAAAAATGGAATTAAAAAAACAGGTTGTGAAAATACAGTACTTCGTTTGGGATCTGTTCGTCCTTTACCAACAGATCTACATTTAAACTCTATTCAGTTTGCATGTCAAGGTGTTGATGGTACTATACTTCTTTATGATTCACAAACATGTACTGTAGTAATGATAACTGTAAGTTCTCCTATCTATGAAGGTATATATGATGTGGTAGAGGTTGTATCAAATTTACGATTAAATGAGACAGTAGTAGGTCTTGACTGCATTAGTGAACTAGAAGATTCTTGTACAACTTTTGTTGTTTACGGAAAATATGGTATTATATGGAGTATTAGTGTACGTTCACTTGGCCTTATGCTTGCAGATCTTTTGCGACAAGAGAGTTTAACTGACAATGTCCATTCTTTGTTGCGTGGACTTGAACCACAAAGGAAAATGGAGGCTGTTATGGGTGCAGCTTTCTCCGGATCTTCTTTAGAACTTTTGATCCCATTCCTTGATGAGTTAATGCAACCTTCTTTTCGTGAAGGTACTATGTCTGTATCTCCTGGGGTTCGAAGCCTTGTTAATCTTGCACATGACAAAATTGCTTTGGCACAGAGTTTGTGGGATGCACCCTTCTCTTGGCATCTAATGTATGATCTTCAGCGTGTTGCTGATCATTTGATAAAATGGTATGAAAATTTAGATGGACTTTTGCGTCCCAACGGTTGGTTGGATTGTCCAAAACAGGTTGAATTATCATGGAATGGGCTTGTTGCCACTTCTAATCATCCTTTCACTATAAGGAGTGCTCTTAATGCTCAGGCATTGCTATTGGAAACAGTATTAAAAGGATTTCAAACAGCAGGTATACTTTCCTGGTTATACACTTTGCTTTTGCGTCTCAAGCCAAGTAATGTGGATGTAACCAGGAAAAGACTAGATTTAATAGTATGGGGTGAAGATACAGATCAGATTATCAATGCATTTTGTATGGAAGCTCTCTCATACCATGATAAGGATGTTTTGGTTCTATTAGAAGGAAAAAAAAATATCCTTCCAAGACGTGCACGACACGGTATAAGTATTCAAATTCTTATTTCACGTAATCTTCCTGATGCAGCACTTTCTTACGCCTGTGATAATGTAAAGTCTCTACGACATGAAGAAATGTTTGACTATGTGGCAGATGAGCTAGAGCGCTCATTCCCTGAACGTATGCCACGTCTTAGACTCCTTCTTTATTCTTTGAAGCACCACCGAAGTATGGTTGATCTTTTTCAAATGCTAGATAACTCTGCTGCCAATGACTCTTTAGAAAAACTTAAATTACGTCTTGGATTGGTTATGCAGGCTGCAGCCGATGACCCTATCCTTCAGAATGCAGTAGTGCATTGGATGGAGAGTCATTCCCTTGAGGATAACCGTATAATGACTTTTGCGGAGGTATTGGAAGAGAATGCAGTGATTATTAATGAACCACACTCACTAACAGCACTGTTTTTTCTTTGTTGGATTAACCGTAGACTAAATCCTGTAATGGCTGCTCGCGGTTTTGGAGATATAGCAAAAAGTAAGCATCATCTTGCCTTATCAATGAGGATTTCTTGCATCAAATTGGCTTTGGAGTGCAAGTTAACAACAAGTGAGCAGCTTGTCTACTTTGTTCTTCTTCTTCAGGAGGAGTTGGGGAATGCGGTGGAAGCGGTGTGGGGTACAAATTCTATCTCACCTGACGCTGTGAGTATGAATAGTGGTGCTGGTGGTGGTAGTATTGGAAGAGTTGTAGAGGATGTAGAGGATGTGGATGGCTGTGGCCGGTCAAAGGCAATGACGGATGTGCGGGAGCTACGGCACTTCTACGTGGGCGAACAGCGGCTGTTTGAGTTGGCCGGTTCCTACCGCCGGCAGGGCGGGGCCAAGGTGCAGCTCGATCTCCTCAAGGTCCACCCCGAGACCCCCCCGCGGGTCACCGTCGCCGTCCTCCACGACCTCCTCGAGTTCCTCCTCGACGAGGGCATGTCGCCAGCAGAGGCCGTGCGGAACGTCGCCCGCGAGTATTACGACGCCTACGCCGCCGGCCTCCCACTCCCGCCGCTTCTCCGCTTCAGCGCTCGCTGCGGCACTACAGTGGCAGCAGGGGCCGCAGCGCTCAGGGACGGTGGTGTGCCGCCAGGCGCCATCTTTGATGCCCTGCTCGCACTCATTGACGAACCCAGCGAGGAGGTTGTGGGCGTTGGCGCAGGCGACGTTCTTGAGGCCCTCGCTGAAATACTTGCAAAACTTAACGGCGAGGAGCGACGCCTCCGTGGGGCTTATGTGCTAGAGCGAATTCACCACCGACTCGCCGGCGAGCACCGCTCAGGGATGCCACGGGACACAGAGGTAGTGCAGCTCCAGCACGCAGAGGCCATAGTCCGGCGAACACTCGCCACCTCGCCACACGTGTGAACAGTGCGAAACAGGGCAGACGGTTAATATGATTGGAAAGTAAACGAAAACAATATGATGAAGAAGAAGAAAATAAGGAACAATTACGCCTTCATACGTCACAGAAAGGGAAAAAAAAAAGAGAGAAAAAAAAGGAGAAAAAAAGCATAGAGATCTTGCTTTTCCATCCTTTGGTATGATTATAATTATAATGATGATGATTATTATTATGATTATTGGTATCCTCCTACGTTCCTATTTTACTTGGATTGTTTAGTACTGATGTAGGATCATATTCCTACTTATCAGAATACATATTAATATTATATTGCGTTTTTTTTTTTGTTTTCGTTGTGAGCACACTTTTTTTTTTTCTTTATTATATTGATACCTTTTACTTCTTCCTTTGTTTCTCGCTTCCTTTTTTTTTTCTCCCTTTGTATTTTATTATACACATGCACTCTTTTTTTTTTCTTTTCGTGATGTATACAGCGCGCGTTCTACGGCAGAAAAATGCGTCGCACCACCGCTCTGTGGTTATCACAGAAGCTGGATATTATCACCTCCCGCAATCCTCCAATAGCGGCAGGTAGTCTTTTCTTTGCCGATCGCGCGGTGAAGGTGACACGCGCGACAATTCCTGGCTCTTCATTTATATGTACTCCCGCTCTCCTCGCGTGCCGGTGCCCCGACGCCTCCGCGAAGGTGAGCCTTGCGACAGAGGAAAAAATTGGGGCACCCGTAGCGAAGGTGCAACTCAGTGGTATGTGCGCCGTCTCACTCTTTCGTTCTCAGAGACTCGCTTTTCATTGCGCGGGAGAACCGGGGCGCACACAGCGGCATGAACTGGGCCTCCAAGAAGGCGATATGATCGCTCTGCTGGGTGGAAGTGATCTGCTGAGCGACTGGCGCTCTGTCGAGCGTACGCTGAGTAGTGTTGCTCATGAGGACCTTGAGTACATCGCAGAAGAGTTGTTGCTGGTGCTTGGAAGGAATACACGTAGAGTGACTGCCAACAGTAGTAACAATAAAGAACTCAATAGTTGGGATGAAGAAGGCAGAGGAAACGGGATTTGCGTTATGGCGGCAGTACATAACAGACCATCAGGAGGGCTTCCGCAACCCCCTACGTCCATGGAATTTCCAGGGGTGTAGGCAGTAGAGGGAAGAGGGAAGCTACCACGATGGAGAGTGATCACTTGAGTGAAAGTGGAAGGTGAAGGGAAGGGGAAATAATGAATAAGAAGAAAAGAAAAAAAAAAAATGGTGAAGAAAGCAAGAGGGAAGGGATGAGGGGTGGGGGAGCCAAAAGTCGAAACAAAAAAAAAAAAAAACGAAATAATAAAAAAGAAAGAAAAAAAAACAAGTGGAAAACCCAAGGTTACCAGTTATAATGAACTAGTGCTCTAGTTGTTCAGTGATTCCCTGTAGCAGCTAAGTAAAATGAATAGATGGGATAAAATTTATACACTCTGAAGAAGGAAAGCAGTATATATTGAAATATAGAGATGAATTGACATGGGCATCATTTTTTTTTTTTCTTTTAGTCTTATTTCCCCTCATTTTTTTTTTTTTCCTTCTGACTGAGGTGTACTCTTTTTTTTTCTTTTTTTCTTCTTCACTAGTCATTTGGTGTCGCTGTTGCTTCATTCTCCAAGCCATTCGCGTAATTGAGGCATAGTGATAGAATGACGAAGAAAAAAGAGGACCAAAGAGAAGCCTTTGTATATGAGTGACCTTGGTTTCCACTTGTTTTTTTTCTTCTTTTTTTTTCTCTTTCTCTTTCTTGTCTGTATCACCATCTTTGTCATCATTTTCCCCGGGTTTTTCTTTTGATCTGTTTTTATTATTATTATTATTATTATTATTATTATTATTATTATTATTATTATTGAATGCAGGTTTTTTATTTCTGCGTTTGTGCTCCTTCATCCCTTTCTTTTTTTTTTTGCTTTGTGTTTCAAGGTCTGGAGAAGATGTGAATTTGTTGCTCTTCCATCCCCTTTTTTTTCTCGTTGTTTCCTTCCCCCCTTCTGTTTTTTTTTATTGTTCGTTTTTTTTTTTTTGTTTGCTTCTTTTTATATTCCTCCCTTTTGGGGATATAACAACGGCTGTTTATAAACAGTTGATGTTCGCGTTAGGTGGTGATTATAGTGGTGGAGATACGCGTTTTTCTTGGCGTCAGTACGTCAGTGAATGAGAGAGAATGAGAGATGAGAGAGAGAGAAAAAAAAAATAATATTTAATAAAAAGAAAAGAAAAAAAAAAACGACAGAGGCAGAGGAGAAGAAGAAGAAAGAAAGAAAGAAGGAGGAGAATATAATCTGCTTCATTTTCTTTACTTCTTTGCATATATCCGTGTTTGTGTGCCAGTAAGGTAGATTGAAGGAAAATTATCTGTTTTGATTTTTCCGAATCTAGAGGAGACAACCATCTGGCGCCAGACTTCTATTATCAACAACGATAATGTCTCTCACTTTGTTTTAGTCACCACTTTCATCTTATTTTCCTTTCGCTAGAGTGTGTGGTATTACTCGACCAACATCAGTGTGCGACAATGTATTTATTTATAAGTATATGTGGATTTTATCTTTTTAGTACTACCTTCGTTTTGAGGTTGCACTTTTTTTTTTTTCTTTCTCTTTGTGTAGACTACGCCTACTACAGAGTTCGCTCGACTTGAGAAGGTTGGGCCGTGATGAGGTGGTTCAGCGTTTGTTCGAAGAGATGATTATACCTTCTACTAGTCTGGTGGTTGCTGTATATTGCAGGAAACAAATACACAGAAATAAATGAATAAATAGGAAGAATTATATATGTGCGTATATATTCTTTTTTTCTATTACTGAATATGAGTGTGTTTTTTTTTTTTCTGTTTATATACATTCCTGTATGCATGTTTTTTTTTTTTTTGTTGGTAAAAAACATAAATATGCATTAATACGTTTTTATTTATCATTATATATATATAATATATATATATATATATATAATGATATAATTTTTTTTTTCTTTTTGTTGGGCCCCGCTATACAGTTCCAAGTCCGGAGACCATTTATATTTCTACAAGGAGGAGCGGTGGGAGTAGTCGTTTTTGATTGAAATGCTCATGGAGGGATTCCTGTGTAGTACACCAGTAACTGCGAATGGTGAAGAGGAAGAAGAACGAAAATAAAAAAGAAAGCAGATGTGTACACACATGGACAGGAAAAGAAAAAAAAAAAATAAAAAAATATGATAAAAAAAAAAGAAAAGAAAGAAAGAAAAGGCCTGTGCGTATACCGAAGGGGAAATAAGTGGTATGTGCTTGTTTATTTATTTAAAAAATGGAACGCAGAGAATCATTGACTACTACAGGGGAAAAAAAAAGGATATCAACAAGTAGTCTGGGATACTACAGGCAAACAAAAAAAGTTCCAACAACGAAAATATTTCCACATTTCCCCTATTACCCCCCTACTCCTATTCCCAGTTTTTTGTTTTTTAAGTTCTTCTTGCTGATTTTCATATTCTTCTTTTATACGTATCTCTCTCTCTCTGTCTCTCTCTCTCTCTCTCTTACACGCGCACGTTCTCTCTCTCTTTGTTCGTTTGTATATTTATATATGTTGATATCTATCTTTTTTCTTTCGCTCACAATTATTTTTCTTTACCGGGTCTCCGTGTATGCATTGATGCCATTGAGACTAACGACAATGATATGCACATGATGTGTGGATCTGAAATTCTGTGGCTAGAGTTGCTACTATACTCCTGTATTTATGTTTCTGTTTTTATTGGACAGTGCATTCCGCTCATTGAAGTTTTGTTGATCAGATTATTGAAATCCAGTGGTTGAAGCGTGCCGGAAAAAAAAAAGAAAGGAAAGAAAATAATTGAGAGAGAAAGAGGGAGAAAGAGAGAAAGAAAAGAGTGAAAGGGAGACAACCAGAAAAAAAAAAAAAAAAGAACGGATAGAAAAAAAGCGAAATGAAACTCCATGTGAGTGAATATCCGGGCTTCTCTACAGTGAAATGGTGATGTCCCTTTATATTGTATTAAATATTTTATATATTCTCTACCCCCTCCTTTATAATTATTGGTGCTCTACCAAAGTTGTTTTACATAAACCATTGTTTCTGGTATTGTAATGGATTCTTTCTTTTTTTTTTTTTTGTTTTCTTTCTCTTCTCTTCACTGTGTTATTTGCCCTGTGGTGCGGTCTCTTCCCCTTACAAATAAGGGGAAACACGGAGAGTCGTTTTTGGTCAAGACGATACAATTTGCACACACATATACATACACACACATATCTATCTATATATATATATATATATATATATAGATAGAGAGAGAGAGAGAGAGAGAGGCATATATACTCTCACACTTGCCAGAAATAAGAGGTAAGAGAAGTGTGACAGAAAGTGTACGGGTTTGTGGGAAAGAAACTTAAAGAAAAAAACAAAAACAAGAACAAGATCGTGTAATACAACTGCACAGAATAAAAGAAAGCGAAAGGTAAAAACAAAAAAAAACAAAAAAGAAAAAGGATTTGAGCAGTTTCCAATGAGTTTCCAGCGTAAGATAACGATTAGCGCAGGTGAGGAGTGTACAATAAGTGGCAGCGGTGCAGTGGAGTTGTTACTGCAGTCTGGTGTGGTTGAGATTGCTGGTATTCTTCTTAAAGCTAGAGAACCGTGTGTATTCTACCTCGAGACAGACCAGCGCTGTGTTGTTCTCTACACACTAGAAGGAGGATCTGTATTGGCAACCTCTAACACTCCCTTTGAGACGGTGAAAGTGGCAACTGGTATGACTGCTGTTGTGCAGTTGTGCCAGCGTACATTGACAGCAGAACGCCGTACAAAGGTTCTCGTTATTGGTAGAACACACAGTGGAAAAACGTTAACGGCTCATACTATATGTAATCTACTGCGTGAAGATGCTGCTACTGCTGCTGCAGAAACAGGAGATCACGCTGCTGCTGTATATTTAATGGATCTTAATGCAGAGTCTAACTGTATTTATTCACCAGGCTGTATTTCAACTGTAGAGGTAGAGCACACACTATGGCCAGGCACAACATGTGCGCCAACGTTGTTGCCATTTTCTCTTTTTGTTGGTGAGGCAACTCTCCCTTCTGCAGCGACGATAGTCTCATTTCTACACTTTGTGGAACAATTAAATGATTGTACAGAAGCTTTATTAAAAGAAGCAGGACATGAACGTGTACATCTCGTGATTGATGCCCCAGCCCCTGCTCCAGGTGTTAAAGAGGGAGTATATTTTCGCAGATTGATTGAATTGCTGCGACCTACTCATGTTGTAACGGTTGTTGCCCAAGATGGATCAGAGACGTGGTCTACATTTCTTCAAGAAGACGTACAACGAGTTCTTCCGGATTGTGAGTTTTTCTGCGTCTCCCCTGTTGAGCGGAAGTGCAGCATCTCCATGCGTGAACACAGTATTCGTGAATATTTTGTTGGCACACCGCAATTTCCATTAGGGTGTGCAAAGATGGTACTCCCACTCGCCCAACTGCAGTTTGTGCAGTATGAGATGCAGGGAGATGCGGTGGTGTGTCGTAAGATTGCAGCAACCTCAAGTCTCTCCGATTGTCTCTGTGCTATTTCACATGCAGAGATTTTAGAGGAGGTGCCATTGGCTCCACTAGCGGGTCTCATGCTTGTAGTGGCAGTAGACGAGGAACATGAAGAACTTGTGGCTATTCTCCCATCATGTGAAGATATGCCAAGACGTTTTCTCATTGTACCGAATGGGACGATAAAGACCAAAAGTAATGATGAGATGTCCGGGACAACAGGAGAATCCATAGCACCAGTGTTAACAGCACCTTCTTTAAGTGTGACCGCCATCATGGCACAGATTGAAGAGGGAGTAGCTGTATAAAGATAAAGGATGCACATCTAGTGCGAGTGTTTTGTCATTGGCAGATACACACATGGACTAATAAACACATGATGATAGACTTGCTAATGCGATGGACTGCCGTACTATAAGCATCTTTTATTTACTTTATTTTTCTTTCCCCCTTTCGCGTTTTTTGTATTGGTTCTCCCTGTTTTTTTTTTCTTTCTGTAGAGCTCTATCTCTCTCTCTTTTCTTTTTTTTCTTCTTCCTTTCTTGTTCTTCTTTCTACTGTTGTGTTTCTTTTTTTCTTTTTTTTCTTTTTTTTTGTTCCTTATCAGATAACGTGTTGCACATCCGCAACACATCTATTTCAAGTGGATTCCTATTTGTTTGAATCCCCTAAGCCATCAGAATAAAAAGAAAAAAAAAAAAGAAGAAAAGGGAAATACGGCGTGCAACTCTGCCGACTTCCATGCGTCGGTGTACACTGCAGGCAAAGAACTCACCAGTTGACTGGAAAACACGTGTGCGGCGCGGAGTGCAGCGACTCGTGCGGCAATATGTGCCAGACCCGCGCGATGCCCCACTGACGGAGTTGCCAATGAGTGCAGATGCATACAAGCGAACGTACTTGCAACAAGAGGGCGGTGTGCGGGTGGGCATGCGGCCCGGACAGTCCGTAGAGGATTACATGGCAGAACGAGATCAGAAGTGGTTAGAGGCTCAACGCATCACAACAAGTCGATTAGTGAATGAACAAAAACTGCACACAACTGCAGATGGACAACTCTTTACAGGTACAGGTACTCGTGAGGCGTATATGGATGTGGAACACGCAAACCGTCTCGTCAAGTCACCAAAGCCAAGTGACTATGAAGCAGATGAGGAATTAGTGCTCATGCGACGACAGTTGCAGGTGGAAAATGAGGCGGAGTACCGTAAGTTTATTGCAGAGTCTAAACGTTCAGAAATGACAATGGGAGAAACACAGAAACGCCGAAGACCACACCCGAGTGATCCAACGTATGATCCTTTTAAGATATGCCCTGGATATAGACCACAAGATAGTGTCGCACTGGCACAGTGGTTAAAACGACAACGTGAGTCTGGTAAAACGGCGAGTGGACTTTCTCTTCAAACAAAAGAAGGTCAAGAAAGATTTTACAATGAAGAAAAGATGGCGACCCAATTTCATGCGAATCCTTTTTCTGCACGTGTGGAAGAACCTCGTGGAATGACAAAGATGCGTATCACTGCATATTCACCTGATAGTATTTTTGTTAATGATAAAGAAGTTATTGGTTCCTGTATAGTAACGGATAAAGCATATTATCACTGGAACATTAGTAGTTTTGAAGAAGTAAATGAACGTACTATGGCACTTTTACTTCATTTATATCCTGTACCTGATGTTATTTTTTTAGGAACAGGACGAAATTTACATTTTATCGACGAAGAGCTGCGCATCGCTTTTCAGAAGCGTGGCTCCGTAATTCACTGTCTTACAACTCCACAGGCATGTGGACACTTTGGTGTACAACTCTCTGTATCACGCCGAGCTGCACTTGCCGTTATTAATCCTGTCCCTACAAATGGCTATGGTGTAGAGTGTTTTGGTGATTTTATTGAAAATGACATGTTTTCCCTCTCTGATACCCAACTTGGGGTTCCACCTATTAAACAATTTTCTTCCACTATGTTTAAACCCAACAAAGTGGCGGAGAAGTATCGACATATGCAAGGAACTGGTTTTGGTCCAAAGTATCATCAAATGAGTGATGGTAGATTAGTGCGTCCTGGGACAAGCGGTACAAAGTTACGACCATTATTAGAACCAGGTGAAGAAGTACAGTGGGAGCAACTGCCTTCATACTACCACTGGTACCCTAAGGAACACCTGCATGATTACATAGAGAATACCACTATGCGAGAAATTCAAGGGAAACCGACTGGTGACCCATTGGAAAAACGTTTATATCAAGCGATGCGTGGAGGGAAGTCCGAAAAGGATGAAACCCCATCACCGGAATTGGCACCGTGGGACTCTGCTTCTATTCCCATCACAAAGTTTCCACATGAACGTAATGAAGAAGAGATTGTTGTGGAAGATCCGAAAACGGGACGTATTATTGGTATGGATCGTGATACCTACGAACGGTGGCGTGTTATGATGCAAGAAAGACGTGAAGGTAAACCAGAGAGTGATCCCGTTGAGTACGATCAGGAAAGGTTCGTAACAAACAAAGATGGTGTTGTCTTTGATTTGTCCAAGATGAAGTATAGACCAATCTTTGAAGGACGATGGAACCCGAGACGTCCACAAAGTACTGGTAGAACAAATCCAATCATGACATAGTTGGCGATAAAAGCAAATAGAAGCAAAAACTCTGAGCATATTTGACCTGAGGATTAATTACTCTTTGCAACGTCGACAAGACACAAGAAAAAAAAACAAGAAGAAAAGAAGAAAAAAAAGAAGGAAGCAAAAGAAGATAGTGACTGAGTTGGTCGGGTGATGGAGTGGGGATTTACAGGGAAAATGAAAAAAAAAAAAAAAAAAAATGCAGACAAGAAAAAAAAAAAAAAAAGAATGCAGACATGCAAAAACGAACAGCATATGGGTAGAATGGCTAATCCATATGCATGGATGATTCAAGAAAAAAGAATATATATATATATATATATATATATATATATATATATTGACATAAGTCTTCATTTAAATGGAAAAGTGATGCATATATTTATTGTATAGTTTAAGATGATTCTATTTTTTTTTTCCTTTCTTCTTTTTTTGTTTTACTCTGTCTTCTTAAACGCAAAAAAAAAAAAGCTGTGGGGGCCCGGTACGCAGCGGTCTGAGTCTGCTGACGATAGCCTCCAACCCCTTTTTTCTCTTTGTGTTTATTATTGGAGATACAGAATATGGATGAGGAGAAACGGCAGCAGTATAGAGATGAAATTAGAGTAGGAGGAAATCATTCCATTATTCGTATCATTGGAACACACGGACCACTGTTTATTTGTGAAGATCCTTTACAGTATCTGCAAGTCTTGCCACAGGGAAGAAAGAAGCACTATGATAGCACTCATCTCAGTATTGAAGAACTGGAATACTTAAACCATTCTTTTGCCATCATTTTTGATAGAGTTGAGGATAAAGAGCTCCGTGATGTTTTGTACAAGCGACATACTCTTTCTTGTAAAGCCTATCGTTATCTTACAGATGTGATGGGACTTCATTTGCGACATGGGAGCCAATTCGGAGCGGCGTTCATTGGATACAAGGATATCAATGGACATGGTGAATGTTTGATTTTTTTTGGTCCTCTCTCACATTTGGAAACTGTAGCGGCTGTACGAGTTGCTTCTAGTGTTGGGAAAGAGGCATGGGTGTTACTGGAGGAATCAAGAGAGCAACAGCATTCTAACAACAACAGGAATAACGAAAGCGATAATGACGATAATAATAATAATAGTAGTAGTGGTGGTGGTTTCTCTATTTTAAAACTTGGTAAAAATCGTCGTGGGAAGCAAATGTTCCGACAGGAGTAAATTCAGTACTATACGAGACCCCCCCTTTTTACATTTTCTGAAGAATCCTTTTTTGTTTTAAATTGCCAAGCCTTTCTTTCTCTCTCTCTGTGTGTATATATGTATATATTCAATGTGTTCCCCCTTTCTATATATAATCTCTTTCTCTTGATCTGCCCACTGCCCACTCTACACTATATACACTATATACACTATATGTATATATATACAGAAGAAGATGGCTTGTCCACGTGTGCAGTACCGTCGCCGCATGCACTATGCAACGCGCGGCAATCGCATGAAGCTCGTGCGCACGCCCGGCAACCGCCTCGTCATGCAGAAGCGCGAGAAACGCTCGCAGGGGCCCCACACGCCGTGGGTCCTCGGCCACAAGCGCCTCGCCGGCACGAAGGCACTCCACCACACGGAGGCCCGCCTCGCCTCGCACCACAAGAAGAGCACCTCACGCCCCTACGGCGGTGTGTTGAGCCACGATCAGGTGCGGGACCGCGTCGTCCGGGCGTTCCTCGTGGAGGAGCAGCGCATCGTCAAGCGCGCACTCAGGGCTCACGCCAAGTCGCAGACAGAGAAGAAGCGCCGCGATGCCAAGCGTAAGCGCCAGCAGGAGAAGAAGGCTGCTATCACAAAGAAGATTGGCACAAAGATTGGTTCAAAGTCAACAACAGCAGCTTCATCCAAGAAGGTGGCAGCGGCGAAGAAGAAGGCGGCAGCCCGCGTGCCGGTTGGTGCGAAGGTCAAGAAGTAGAAACAAAACAGGAAACAGGAACAGGGAAAGGTAAAAACTTTTTCTTTTTCCAACTACGCATGATTTCTTCTTCATTCATTTTTTTTCTTTCTTCTTTATGGGATCTCTTCTTTTTCTTTCAACTTTGCTTCTACTTTCTCGGTCGAGGCAAAGGAATGAAGGATGGAGGATGGAAACAAAAAAAAAAGATCAACAACAAACCAAAAAACCAAAAAAAAAAAAACAAACACAAACAAAAATGTGAGAAAGGAGGAGAGGGGGGTGGGTGAGTTTATCACCCCTCTTAGAGTAGTTGCTGTTGGAGCTTCTACTCTTATAGTTATTCTTGTTTGCTATATTGATACTATTGTAATTACTTAACTAATATGAAAATTGTTCTCTCTTCTTCTTTTTCTTTTTCTCTCCTTTTCTTCTTTTTCTTCTTCTTTAATAATGTGTAGGTCCGCAACATGGGATTCTTTGACTCTGACCTCAGCTACCCAACGGTGCGCTCCGAGCGCATGAAGCACAAGCGCCGCCGCTTGGTGCAAGGCCCCAACTCATTCTTTATGGACGTGAAGTGCCCCGGTTGCAACGCCATCACCGTTGTGTACAGCCATGCCACGTCGGAGGTGCAGTGCAACGGCTGCGCCACGAAGTTGTGCCGCCCCACAGGTGGTAAGGCAATGCTGACAACAGGCTGTGGCTTCCGCAAGAAGACAGACCACTAGAAAGAATGAAAAAAATACGCATGGTATTGGACGGACTGATCTGCTTTTTTTCTCATTAATTTTTTTTTTTGTTTTTGATCTTTTTTTTTTATGGATCATTGCAAAAAGAATAAATAAAAGGTCACTCCCTATATGAGGGGGTGATCTTAATTGCACTACTTTTCTTTACTGTATATGTGCAGCTGATGCTGCTGTTGCTCTCCTTTTTTTCCTTTTCTTTCTTATTTTTTTTTTACTATTTCTTTCCTTTTCTTTTTTTCTTTTCTCTCTAACAACACAAATTATATTAAATTACTCTCTTTATATTTCTCACTATATAAAGGCTATTTCGCGCCTTAACTTCACGCAGTAATGTCCAAGATCCCTCCAGCACAGCTGTCGGAGGCCATTCAGGCCGTCCTGAGCACCCGCAAGGAGCGCAAGTTCAAGGAGAGCATTGATCTGCAGGTGAACCTGAAGAACTACGACCCCCAGAAGGACAAGCGTTTCTCCGGCTCTATTCGTCTTCCTCACGTCTGCCGTCCTCGCATGACCGTCTGCCTGCTGTGCGACCTTGTGCACGAGGATATCGCTAAGAAGAACGACGTGCCGACGATGAACCAGGAAGAGCTGAAGAAGCTGAACAAGAACAAGAAGCTCGTGAAGAAGATGTGCAACAAGTATGATGCGTTCTTGTGCTCAGAGTCCATCATCAAGACGGTGCCCCGTCTTGTGGGTCCTCACATGCATCGTGTTGGTAAGTTCCCAACAGTGTGTGCGATGAGCGAGAGTCTGCCTGAGAAGGTGCTTGAGCTTCAGTCCACTGTTAAGTTCCAACTGAAGAAGGTGCTTTGCCTTGGTACATGTGTGGGTCATGTGGAAATGACAGAGGATCAGGTGCGTCAGAACACTGTTATGGCACTCAACTTCCTCGTCTCACTCCTGAAGAAGAACTGGCAGAACCTCAAGTCTGCGTACATCAAGTCCACAATGGGTAAGCCACAACGCATCTACTAGTGAGCATGGGTATGTGTCTGAAATAGCTGATAATGTCTGTTTTTGTTTTATCTTTTTTTTTTTCTCTCCTTTTCGTTACCCAGCGAATTGGAGACTAAAATAAAATATTTATAATCATATATATACATATATATGCGTACAAACATTCAACACGAGTAAATCATACATACGTACATACATATAATCCAAATGCATGTACCTCTATATGTCTGTGTATGTGTATATATATGATTTACTTGTGTTGAATGTTTGTATGTTTATCATTCTTCTAACTGTCTTTTTTTTTGTTGTTGACGCTCCCTACCTCATAGATTACACCAGCTTATTTTATTTACTTTTTTCTTTTTTTTTCTTCTTCCTTTTCCTTTTGCCTCTGTGTAAATAACACACACACACACACACACACACACACACACCCATACCTTATTCCTCTAGCGAGCCTGTTTCGTCCCCGAATAGTCATGCCAGCTATCACCCAAGAGATGCTCCGCAAGCGCGCGGAGTCTGTGCGCACCGGCGGCCGCGGTTCTGTGCGCCGCACCGTGAAGGCCGTCCACCGCAGCAGCGGCGAGGACAAGAAGGTGCAGGGCGTGCTGAAGCGCCTCGGCGTTACACCATTCAATGATATTGATGAGGCCATCTTCTACCGCCAGGACGGTTCTGTGTTTTTCTTTGACAAGCCAAAGGTGCAGGCATCTATGCAGTCGCAGTGCTTCGTCGTCTCTGGTCCCTACGATGTGAAGGACGCCAGCGAGGTTGCCCACTAAATAGATGAATGGAGGAAGGAAAAAAAAAAGGGCCGCATAAAAAGTCCTTTTAGTTCGTTTATTTTTATTTTTAAGAGAAAAAAAAATCCATTGAATAGGAAAAAAAAATAAAAAATTTTTTATTAAGAGGGGTGATAGAGCGTATTATTAGGAAGAACGGTTAATAATACGTTGCTTTCTTTTATGATCTATAAGGGATAAGGGATTGTTTCACGATGACAGTGGACCTAAATTGTGTTCTGCCTTCTTTTTTTTTCTTTTTTTTCTTTCTTAATTCATTTCAGAGTGAAAGTACCGTACAAGAAAACGACTAAAAGGGTAAAAGTTATCGAAAAAACGGAGAAAGAAGATTAAAAAAAACCGAATTAAAGAGAAAAAAAAGAGAGAGATATCTTGGAGAGAGAGAGAGGTAGGTAAGTAGGTAGGTAGAGAACTACACATATTATAAAAAGAGCATGTCATCAGGGCCGTTAGCACCTTCTCCAACAGAAGGACCAGCATTGCAGCCGGAGAATAATTCTAATCCTCAACGTTACACATATAGGTCTGGTGCTGTCTATGAGGGTACCTTTGATGGAACTAAGCGACATGGCCGGGGCCATTGGCGTCATCCTGGCGGTGAAACATATGAGGGCGAGTACGTAAATAACAAGCAAGAGGGTCTTGGTGTGTACTTGTTCACAGAGTCTGGTAAATGTTATTTGGGTCGATGGAAGGAAGGTGAAATGGATGGAGAAGGGGTGTATTATTTTAACCATGACCACAATATATTCTATGTTGGCGGCTACGCACATGATAAAAAGAATGGTAACGGTTTTTACTGTTACGAAAACGGAATTGTTACTTCGCAAGTGTGGGATAATGGGGTTTTACAAACAGAGACGGAGGCAACACCGCTGCAGCGTGTAGAGTGTGCAATGATGGTGGAATCCATCACTTCCGCCGTGCGTGCGGTAGCGCCGAATGTATTGGGCGTGCAGCCGCCGCCTTCTGAAGTGCGTACATTTCAGTTCCCGTCTGGAGCTACTTATACTGGTCAATACTACGGTACGAAGAAACACGGTGTTGGTTATTGGGTCCACCCAGAGGGAGACAGTTATGATGGACAGTTTGAATCCAACAAACACAGTGGATGGGGTGTCTATGTTATTGGACGAAGTGGAAAGAAGTATGTGGGACACTGGGGTGATGGTAAGATGAATGGAGTGGGGGTGTACTTTTTTAACCCACAAGAAACAGAGTACTTTATTGGATCCTATAAGAATGATGTGAAACATGGACGTGGACTTTACCACTTTGCAGAGAGCGGGAGTAATAGGCTTCAACTGTGGGAAAATGGTAGTATTAGAGATGAGGTAGATGCAGATGAGACTGTGGTGCAGCAATATCACGCAGCTATGCAAAAGATTATTGAAATTGTTAGGTCTTTTGCCCCACGGTATGAACCTATCTGCGCAAAGTAAACGCACAGACACAAACAAAACAAAAAAAAAAATAGAGAGAGAGAGAGAGAGAGGGAATGCACCTCCGTTCCTCGTGACTTATTTTGTTCTTGTTGTTTCCTCCTTTCATAATCATTTCTTTCGGTTTGCCTAACATTTTTTTTTTTTTTTTTCAATTCCTCTCTTTTTTCTTTATTTATTCTCTATCTGCCTGTTGTTTTCTTTCTTTTCTGTTTCTCTCGCTTTTGTTTTTGATGTATTGCTTTTTTTTCTTTTTTTTTTCTTTCTTCCCCCACTCCTCCCATACTACAAATATCTATTTGATATATATATATATATATATATATATATATATATATATATATATATAAAGGTTAATTTCCCCTTCTGCTGTGTTTGTGTATGCAGCAGTCCCTCTCTGTGTTTTTTTGTTCTTCTGCACTACATTCTTTACGAGTAGAGTGAAGACTGATACAGTGGAATGGCTCCACTCGGGAAGAAAGAACTTTTATCGTGGGCAGCTGAGACAACTGGGATTCGTCCATGCAATAAGTACGCCGATCTGCGAGATGGTGTTGTATTTTTAGTACTAGCGAGTCGTCTCTTTCCTGCAAGTGTGGATCTCCGCAGTGTGCAGCGACATCCACCGGATGTGGTTCGCAATTGGGATACACTACGGCGTGTGTTGGAGCAGCATGGATTGCCGGTTCATTTGTGTGATCGCCATGCAATAGCGGCTGGTCATGCACGGCATTGTTTTAACATGTTGGTGTTGTTTTACTTTCTCACTAAACTCTCACGGGACTCTGATTTCTGTGTAGACTTTGCAAACCCTATAGATACAGCAATGGCGGCATTTCTGCAATCCCCACAAAGTCTACTCTGTTTGGGCAAACAACCAGCAGCGGAAACAACCTCTGATATGAGGTCAACAAACACATCTACGACTGCAGGACCAACCACTTCAAACACCACCGCAACAACAACAACAACAACTATAAAGAAAAAACCTGCTTTTACTTCAACTTCTACAACTGCTAATGAAATAACCACAACAGGAACAGAGGATGTTTCTCATGCTAATACAAGTGCTAGACCATGTACAGAATCACAAAGGGAATCACTACTACAACCACCACCAGGAGCTGTCGCAACAGCAACATTATCAACAGGAGTTCATTCTCATCCCATGTCATCTCGATCATCATCGCGCGTTAGTGGGGATGAGGGAAATCCCATTGGAAATGATTCCACAAGAATACATAGTCTACGTGCACAAAATGCACGATTGCAAGAAGAATTGGATCACGTGCGGGTTACATCACAAGTTATGTTAGCGCAGCAGCGGGTTCTGGTGGCTAGTGAACTAACTCGCATGACAGAACAGTTTGAGGCACAGATGGCATTAGTACGACTGGAACACGATCATGAATTACGCCAATGTCTCATTGATTTGAGAGAAGAATATAATAACTTTATTGTAGATATGCGTGGAGACACAGTGGCCCCATCTGGCCTTGTTCACACACTGGAGAGTAAAGTACACACACTGGAACGGGAATTGGCACAGAGTGTAGAGACTATACAACAATTACGCCGCACCATCACTGCACAACGTGATCGTCACGAGGCATTTGCACAGAAGATTCAATCCATTTCTGCCAATATTCCTCCTGCTGAACTTGATGAGAGTACTTTTGTGGAATCTATCTTATCGTTAATAGAACCTTCTTCCCAACAACAACAACAACAGGGTTTGATACAGAAACAACAACAAGAGGTACTTTGGGATACTGTTGCATTGCGATTGAAGACAATGGTATCTCAGATTAAGACACTCCATAGTGAGACAGAGCGATTAAGAAGTAATACAAAAAGTCCATGCAATAATTTAAAAGATGGTCAAGATACAAATCGACTCCGTCTACAACTTGAGAGACTTCAACTAACGAACCAGTTTCTGCGTCAACAACGACGTCAACAACAACAAGAACATCAACGACATCAACAACAACAACAACAACAACAACAATATCATCAACCACAAGAGCTTCAGAAGGACTGGTATGCCATACCACTTGCAAATGGGATGGAGGCCCCATCTTGTATGATTGATTCTGAGACATGTGACACTATCTGTGCAAGAGCCTTATCAGTAGTAAAGGAGTCACATACTGGAGTTAATTCTCCTATTTTTAAAGAAGTTCAACGACTTGTTACCGTTATTCAAATTTTACAATCACGTGTAGAGACTGCCAGTTCTACTTTAATTGCGTACCGTGATAAACAACAGAACCTCTATGAAGATCTACTATGGGCACAACAGAAGAGTGAAAATGAAGCCCGCGAACATCAGCGCACAATGGAGGCTAAACTAGACGAACAGCGTCTGCGCATAGAGGCGAAGGAAGCAGCAGAGAGTACAAAAATGCGTCTTGTAGAAGAACGCGCTACACGTCGAGAGTCCATTGCCAATATGCTTCACGAACGTCTGCGTGAGATGATATCCTCACTCCAGCAACAACAACAACAATCGCATCAAGTCAATGACGGTGTGGCTCTGCGTGCTGGAATGCAGAAGGCGATGCAGCAGTTAGTGGCGGATGTGGTCAAGTCGCAGCGCACGCAGGACTCTTTTGAGGCGGCAGTTCGTGATTTAAGTGAAGAGGTGGCGATGCTGCGCCGACAACTCGGCCAACGTGAGCGGGAGGAACAACGACTGCAGGCCGCACTCACAGCAGCCACAGGGCAGCAGCAGGAAAAAGAAAAAGAATTGACTCACGCCAAGGCGGAGGTGCACACATTGCGTGATGCTGTGAATATAGAACTGGATGCACTGCGTCATTACATTGGACGTGTTGGGGATTTATTGATGATGGAAAAACCACCACAGACGATATTACAACCTTCAAACAATCTAAAGACACCTTTTACGACTAATTCTAGTCGTAGTGATGCGGCTGTTCCGCCTCTTTCCTCTTCTTCTTCTTCTACTACTACTACTATTCCTACTCCTTCTCCCTCTCCTCCTCCTGTTCGGTTTCCATCATACGATAGTACTCGTCCTGATTCTCTCAAGAGGGAAGAGCAAAGTGAGGATGTGGCCTCACGGGCATCAACCGCAACACCAGGAGTTACAACAGCGGCGTTTGTGGGAAGTACACCTTCATTGTTACTTTCATCTGAAGAACTAGAAAGACGAAAGAAGGCAATTTTGAGCAAGTATGGTTTCAACAACAATATTAATAATAATAGAATAGAGCACTAGATGCGACAAAGTGTACCATTACAAATTGAATATATATATATATATATATATATATATATATATTTCTTTTTTTTTCTTCTTCTTCCTTCCTTTCCTTTCTATGCTTTTATTCACTTTATCGCAATCTTTTTTTTCATTCTTGGTATTATTATTATTATTATTATTATTATTATTATTTTTTTTTACTTCCCCTCTATTGCTATTAAATTTTATTATTATTATTATTTTTCCCTTTCTATCTACCCTTGCCGTATTACAATCCACCCACTCACTCAATAAAATCATAACAATATTATTATTATTACTACTACCAATAACGGTTAAAAAAAAAAAAAGTAACAATTACAGTCTAAAGTGACAAGGGGAAATCACCGAGTACATGTCATCTTCGCTTCGTCGTACTGTTCTACATGGGTTCCATGTGGCTAAGAAGGCTCGTATGGGTGCTTTTGCCGGTTATGATATGCCCATCCAATATCCTCTTGGAGCCCTGCAAGAGCACTTACACACACGTAACTCAGCTGGACTCTTTGACTTGTCACATGTTGGTTGTATTGAACTGCGTGGTCCTGATCGTGAAAAGTTCTTCGAATGGATTACACCATGCGGTATTGCGGAAATGAAAGAAGGCCAGGCCGTATTGACATTACTGCTTAACCATGAAGGTGGAGTAAAAGATGATTGTATTGTTTGTAAGTACCCTGATCACTTGTTCTGTGTGGTAAATGCGGGTTGTAAAGAGAAGGACATTGCCCATGTGCGTTCATCTCTTGAAGAGTTTAAGGGTAATACCACAGTTGTAGAAGTTGATTGCGCTGTAGTTTCACTACAAGGTCCTAAATCAGCAGAAGTACTCGCCCCCTTTGTAGAAGATCTTGATAAGTTATTATTTATGAGAAGTCGCCTAAATGTTTCCTTTAAAGGTATTCCCATTACCCTCACACGCTGCGGTTACTCTGGCGAGGATGGATTCGATTTGGTGATGCAGCCCAAAGACGCCGAGTCCATTGTGGAGTTGCTGCTGCAGGACCCGAAGGTGCAGTTGGCGGGTCTCGGTGCCCGCGACACGCTGCGGCTGGAGGCCGGACTCAGTCTCTACGGACACGAGATCGACGAGGACATTAACCCCGTGGCCGCACGGCTGATGTGGTGCATTCCCAAACGTCGAATGGCGGAGGGCGGCTTTATTGGCCACGAGAGTGTGAAGAAATATCAACAGTCCCCGGAACTTGTAAGGCGATTGCGTGTTGGGATTCGATCAGTGGAGAGAGGGCCGGTGCCGCGTGCGGGGATGCCGATTGTTGTGGGCGGCGAGGCGGTGGGGCACGTCTCGAGTGGGGCGCCGTCGCCTTCGCTGGGCTGCAACATCGCGATGGGGTTTGTGGACCGGGAGAAGTCGAAGATTGGGCAGAAGGTGGAAATTGATGTGCGGGGACGGCGGGTGCCGGGCGAAGTTGTGCAGGCACGATTTGTGCCACTTCGATACTATAAGGGTTGATGATGATACTGATATTGTTGGTGTTGTTGGTATTGATGGTGTTGTTGTTTCCATTTCTCTTTTTTTTTTGTCCCTGTTTGTTTCGTTCCTTGTGTGTTGTAAAGAGTTGTTGCTGTTAAAGCGAAAAGTGAGTGCGTGAAGGGAGAAAAAAGGTGAGTGCGACAGCAGTTGAAGGGCCAAAAAGAGAAGGAAGAAGTGGGAAGGTACAAAAGAAAAAAAAAAAAAACTCATAATGTGAGAAGTTATAGGAGGTTAAATATTTAAAAGAGATCAAAACAAAACAACAAAAAAAAAAAAAACGGGAAATCTAATGAAGAGAAAACAAAAGAAAACACAAGAAAAAAAATAAGCGTTTTTTTTTTTTTTCTCTTCCTTCAGCAGTTGAAGAAGGACAATCAAGGGTGTGGTGATGATCCTCTCCTCCCCTCTCCTTTTTTTTTTTCTTCTTTGAATCACAGTGTGGATGGTGCAATTTTTTTAAAGGAGGCGTAAGCTTTCTTCTTGCGAATATATATTTCGGGCATCATTATTTTTCTTGTGTTCGTTGATGATTTTTTTTTTTGTTTTGTATTTTTTTTTTTTTATTATCTTTTTTTTGTTGACTTATGTCTCTCATTCTGTTGTGATATGGAGTCCTGTGTTTTATTCTTCTTGTGTTGATTTTTTTTTTTTTTAATTTCATATTTAAAGGGAATGATCCTCAATGAGGTTGCCTTTCGTTTTTTATTATTATCGTTGTGTTTCTTAGGCTCTTGTAGTAACTGCTAGCGTCCGTCATTGAGTATTTCTCTCTGTTTTTTTTTTTTTTTCTTGCGTTGTCTCCTCCCTCTTTAACATCCTTTTCTGTTGTTTGAATTTCTTTTTTCCCTTTATCCTTTCATTTCTCTCTCCTTCTATCTATATTTATTTCCTCTAGGGTGTACATATATCTTTTCCCCAATACTGCGATTACGCTGCTGACGGAAGCCCAAGTGGTATTCCCTATTACTATTACTATTATTATATTAGTAGTAGTACACTCCTACGATTAATGGCGGTTAGAGGTGGTGGTAATAGTAATAATAGTAGTGAAGGTGTGTCGCGGGCGGAGCTGCAGTTGCGGCTTGAACACGAGTGGCTGCGGGCGGAACGCGAGTTTCTCCGCGCGGAGTCGATCGCCACGGCCGGTCTCACTGCACGGGCCACAACTGCCCGCGACGGCGAGGCGCAATCACACCGCGCGCTTCTCCGCAAGTACGCCGACGGCCAGCAACGGGGCGACACCGCCGCCTGCCGTGCTGCAGAGGAGGGCATGCGGCGCGAAGTGGACGCTGCGCGGCGGCGCGTGGAGGAACTCCGCCGTATTTTAGCATCACTTCAGATGGAGGCTGTGGAGATTGGAGCCCACTGCAAAGGACTAGCAGGTTTTATCTGACATTATATATCCCTCTTTGGTTGTTTCTATTTCTTTTTCTATGTGTGTGTGTGTGTGTGCTCTTTGTTTTGCTTGATAGTTGAGAGTGATCATGGTGTCGATGATGATCCCGTATTTCTATTTTTTGGCGCCTACTGCTTTTTCTGTTCCACTCGGTTTTTTTTTTTTTGAATTGCTTATATATAATATCCTTCTCCATACGTATGCTGGTGTGTCTGGGATAGGAGAGCATGTAAGTAAGCGTGTGGATGCCTCTTTTTTTCTCTCTCTCTCTAATATATATATATATATATATAGTTCTGGGTAGAGGAGATGTCTAGGTGTTCAGTAGAAGTAGCAATCACCGTCTTTGGAAAATAGTGGATCGAATAGAGTTGTTATTTATTTCTTTCTACTTATCCCTCTTTCTCTCTGTATTTTTTTTTTTGTTTCGTTGTGTGATCTTTGGTGTTTTCTTTTCTTGTGTTATTCTTTTTTCTTTTTTTTCTTCTTCTTCCCATGATCTTTTACATGGGGGTGGTGGGAGACAGATACTCGCTTCTAGTTCTGGCGTTTATACGAAAGTAAGAGAAAATCAAAGAAAGTGGGGAATACAGTACTTCCCAATTTATTATTATTAATAACTCAAAAGCAAATATATTAGTTGTGGGGAAAGAAACAAAAAAATAAGAAGAAGAACAACAACAAGAGAAACTAGAAGAAAGGTTTGGGTTTCCATCGAATCTTCAGAAGTATTTAATGAATGGGTAATTCATTACACGGTTTCTGTCATCGGTATTCTTGTTGTTGTTGTTGTTGTTTGTGGTGCTGCGATCAATTAGATGAGACAGGTTCGGATGGTCGTTTCCTTGAACGGCGACGACGTAGGGAATGGTCCCCCAGGCCAATGGATCTGCGGGCCTCTACATCTATAAGACAATCATTTCCAACCACCTGTAATATTTGCGGTATTGTTCTCGATCCCGTTCTTCTCGATGGACACCGCGAGACGTGTCGAGTTCAACACCGACAGCAGATGCAGCGACAAGCGCATCCATTAATACCAAATAGCCAAAGAGGAAGTCTTGAGAGTGATAGCGAGTTGTGTCTGGTGTGTTTAGATGCCCCACGAATGTACGCATTCCTGCCGTGTGGTCATGTTTCCTGTTGTGCGGAGTGTGCCAAGCCGCTGGATTGCTGCCCACTCTGCCGCGAACCACGGAAGGCATTGTGTTTAGTGGCCAAAGACACCATTCTGCAGCAATTCCGGTGTCCGCACTGCATGTGTATTATTGCCCCCACACTCTATGATGGGCATCGTGAGGTGTGTGCGCTCCGTACGCGAGAGGCGCGGGCATTGCCTTCACCAGATAAAGAGACTGGTACGCTTCCAACAGCATGTGTCGCGACCTCTCCAGTTGTAGGTGATTCTACGCCTGTGAGTGGGCAGGCCACAGGTGCTAGTTCTTTGTCTGATAGTTTGAAAAATCCGACTAATAGTACTAGCAACAACAATGCTTTGGTGGTTCGAACCACAGGTATTCTACGAGAGTGTTTGGAGTGCCACGGGACGGAGTCACCACTTGTTTTTCTGCTCCCTTGTGGTCACCGAGTTTTGTGCCGTGATTGTGCAATCAAACGCGTAACATGTCCTTTATGCTTAAGGGATGTTGAGAGTGTGGGGGCATCGTTCACATGAAAAAAAAAAAAAAGAGTCATATGTTCAGTATAGTAGTCTTTTCAGTGTTTGTTTTTTTTGGTTCCCTTCTTTTTTCTTGCCGTATAATTTGCTTGTGGGTGCGTTTTTCTCTGTGCCTGTGTGTGTATGTGCATCTGTGTATACATATATATATATATTTGGGTTTATTTCTCTTTCTTTCTTTCTTTCTTTCCCTCCCTTTCTTTCGGTAATGAGGAGGTTTCCATATTTCCCGGTTTGCCTGTGTCTGTGTGTGTGTGAAAGAAAGAAAGAAAAAGAAAGAGGGGAGGGAGAGGGAAGGGAGAGAAAGTGTGAAAGAAGAGGCTATAGTGTGAACGAAACTAAAGTCCTTTTATTGTATTTGGAACGTTGCCTATTTTTATCTATCGCTCCGTTAAAACCCTTTAGCACTGTCGAATGAGCAACTCAGGTAAGAGATGTTTTTTAGTTCAGCTCTCATCATTTGCTGCGAGTCATATTGATTCATCATTACACCCACCACCGTATTTTCTTCGCGGAACGCTCTGTAACAGTAGTATGGAATCCTCACTGAGTTCTTTGCAGGAAACTCCAACTTGGGAGTTGTGCCACCGATTCGAGTTTAAAGATACCCATCATCATCATAATAATAATGATAATAATAATAATAATAATAATAATAATAATAATAATAATAGTATGGATCAGCAGATGGTGATTGAATGCTACAGCAGAGATGAAACAAACTTTGTCGGTATGTGTCGTTTACTACCAGATCAACTCCTGCAATTGTATGAATCCTCCTCCTCTTCTTCTTCTTCCTCTTCATCATCATCATCATCGACAGCAAATAACTTTCTGCTAACACTGCCGTTGTGTAATGGGGTACACGTTAAGGGTGACTTATCGTTCCATCTGGCGATAGAAGCCGTTGTCTGGCTCACATTGCAGATAACACGTATAACACTCATTCCACACCCACCGCTGGGATCACCAATGTGCGTAGAGATCTCGTGTGGTTATGAAGAAAATGGTAGTGTTGTACGTGTAAAGTCCGAATATGCGCCGCGGGAGATATCGGAGTGGAGGACAATTCCGCCATTACAGTGTAAAACGACTCTCACAACATTAGAAAAGGAAGGACTTTCTCTGGTATTTATTGGAGAATCAAGGGGAGAAGAAGAAGAGGAAGAAGTGATGAGTCACTTACGTATAGCTGTACCAATAACAATAACAACATCAACTTTAACAACAATAACACGTATGGGTGATAAAGGACGATGTACATTTGATGTAGACGCACCTGTTGAGTTTATGGGATTAGATTCCACACTAAATTGTATCCTTACTGGTGTTACCATGACAATAGAACCCTATTTATTCAGTATATCACCAACTGGTGTAGGTGTATCATGCAATGTAGTGAAAGAGGAAGAAAAAGAAGAAAAAAAGGATTTAAACAAACAAGAAGACGGTGGAAATAAAGAGGATTTAATATCTTCTGAAGGGAATCACGTACCTCTCACAGAAGACCTGCGTATTTTAGGGGAGGTGTTACGGCGGCAAGAAGAAATGCTGGAGACAATTAACGAGAGACTTGATTTTGTAAGAAACTCTAAAACGGAAGTTTTATCAAAACTTGAATCGCTGCGCCATATAGCTGAAACTGCAGCGAAGGATCCAAACGTATTAGCTAAAAATAAAGATTTTGAATTAGAGTTACATGCATGCATGCAAAAGCGACGAAAACTACAGAACGAACTCGCTCTAGTACAACAACAGTACATCGATGCTGAACAAAACCACACACGCTGCACGGAGGAGCAAACACAAGAACTAGAAAAACTGCAAATGGAGCATGGAGTGATATCAAATATGCAGGAATATGCACAGAGAGTACAACAGTCGATAGTGCAAGTCGGACTCACGGAGCAGAGAAGACGTGAGGAGCGCCAACAGCAAGCGAGAGAACAAGAATCCCTCACTAGTAATGATGCGGAGGCGCTGGCGATGGTGGGACGACTTCTGCAGGAGTTGTAGTTATGATGCTTTTTTTTTTTTTTT